GGGAATAAGGCTGTGGACCCCTTTGTCACGGAGGATCTGGAGAAAGACCTCCTTTTGGAGTGGCGCTCAAACTTAAGAAGTCTTTGGGATCTTGGGGAATAGGGGCTGCCTCTCCCCTCCCGTGCATTGGCAGGAGCCAGGACATTGAGTGGATGGAGTGAGGACCCACCAAAGTTTGGTCTCAAAGTATGGCCCGTTTCTGAAAATCATCTTGCAGAGCACCATGGCAAACTGATTATAGTTGGTCGATGCCACTGTTGTGGTTGTAACTCTGTAATCCACAGTAACCTGAAGTGTGCATGACGAAAGGTCATCCCTGCTCTGGCCAGGAGGAATGGACTGTCCGCTGCCTTCCCAACTGGTCAACAGGGGCTTCTCCTAACAGGGCAGCTCCCATGTGGAAGGACAGGAAGGGCTGTACCCTTCTGAGAAGTCTCTGATGCCCCAAATCTCAACCTCAGAACCCCTTTCATTCAGGACTCAGGTGTAATACAGCCCACAGTGAACGTCCTGGGCTGCACACTTGGGACAGAAGTTCTGATCAGGAGTTCAAAGCCCTGGGCCTGTGGGAGTGAGAGATGGTGCAGGGTGAGCAGGGAGAGGACACGGACTTGGTGCCCCTGGGTAGAACAAAGTAGGCCCAGGGAAGCAGCATGAATCTGAAGTCCAGGTGCAGCCAGACCCATGACAGTCTGACTGCCACTCTGGCAGGGCCTCACCTGGTGTGCTCCAGAGCCTCAGTCCTTCCCCGTGAGCCTCTGCCTGGTCTGCTGTGAAGGAGGCCACTCGACTATCCCTTCAGCACTCACTGTCCCCTCTGCTGCCTCCCGGGGCCACCTGTCCCATGCACAGACCCCAGGCACTGAGCCCTGCTCTTATCTTGCTGCTTCCTTTTCCCATCTCTCCCGGCAATTTCTCCTCAGCCTTCAGTCTGTTCCATGCCAAGCACTGCCCTAGACCTTGAGCCACACCTGACCTCTCCTTAAGTCCACCCCAGCCCTACACCCAGAATAAGGCCCCCCAAACCTGCCTGCCGTGTGAGCCTTGATCACCAAGTGCTAGGACTTCAATCTACCCGGTGGCCAGAGACAGAATGTGCTGCAGCTGGATGAGCCTGGGCTGGCACTTCTGAGTCCTCAGTCCCTCACCTCTGTCCTGTCACCTGGGACTGCCTAGCATTATCTTCGTGGTTGCTGCCTCCTTCCCTGCTTCAGCTTCACCCAGACCCTGGCCCTTGCACAAGCACCAGGTCATGCACTGTCTCAGAGTGAGATGCCCCTGAGACTGGCCTGCGAGTGCTCCCCTATGGGCTGCTCATCAGCCCCTGCTCCGGTGGCCACACTGATGGCTGCCTTGTTGCCTCCTAAGATGAGGCTCTCTAATTAAGAGTCCACCAGCCCCTGCTGTGTCCTCTGTGCCTTTTTTTTAATGGTGATGGTAGCAATAATGGTGATCAAAACTAGGGCCTTCACAGTGAGCTAACTCCTAGGCCCTTTTTTAATTTTTATTTTGAGGCAGGGTCTCACTTTAGTTACCCAGGCTGCCTTCAAACTTTCAATGCTTTTGCCTCAGCTGCTGGAGCAGAGCCCGTTAGGATTACAGGTAGGATGGTTCCTTAAATATCCCTTCCCCAAAACCCCTAGATAAAAGCCTTGGGTGGAGTCCCATGCTGTGGTGTCCCCTGCCATTTCCTAGAACACCCTACTCTCTGTCTTGTTTTCTACTGAGGGTGGGTGTTTGCTTGGAGCAGCTGTGACCTTGACTGAAAGGAGGGAGGAAGTAGGGGAGGAAGGGAAAGAGGAAAAAGAGAGGAAAGAGGAGGGCAGGAGGAAGGGAAAGAGAGAGAGAGAGGAAGGAAGATTGATTCAGTGCAGAGCAGTGAGACCAATGACACTATTCCTCATTCTGGTTTCCCCAGGACAGTGATGTCAGTTTGCCCCACGACATCTTTACCTGAGCAAGGAGGAGTTGTATTGTAGCTGTGCTCATCTGTCAGGTCCTAGGTGAGGCTGAACACATCTATCTGGCTTTTGTTTCTGATCTCAAATATGTTCACTGGACACCTAAGAGCCACCACTTCCCCTGGAACCACAAGGGGCTGATGGCAGGCAGAGCCTGGAGATGGCCCCAGGGCCAGGTCTCCCTTGGCTCCCTGCTGGTAACACTGGACAGCGGGGTCGGAGGAATGGGCCTCTCCTGAGAAGACAGCAGGAGCTGGGGTACATCAGGGCACATCAGGGTCAAGAGGAACCATGGGTAAGGAGTCAGACCTGACCTGTCTGGGATGAGGTGGCCCAGGTCAAGTAGCTGGTCAGATTTCGGAGCTTCAGTTTTCTCCTCTGTGCAGAGGAACTAAAGATGTCCCCTCCTGCCATTCACTGGGCCTGGTCCCCCTGAGTCCTGCTGCTCCTACACAACATTGCCTCTGAGTCCCTTTGACTCTCCTCCCCTCTGCTCCCATTGTCCCTGTCTCCGATACGTTTCCTGCAGCTGCCCTTCCAGATCCCTTCATCCTGGACGTCTGGCTGCAGGGGTGACCTTGCTCAGAGGTGGGCTTGGGACCGAGTTTGGAGGGGAATCCTGTGCTTGGGTCTCCAGGGCCCCCAGCATGGTGAGGCCCAGTCACAGGAAACCCAGGGCCATGGCTTCAGGGCAACTGCTGGGCGGGCAGATCTTGCAGGAGAAAGAGGAGGGCTGAGGAGTCCACCTAGGGGAACTACTTGGGGGCCAACTTGCTGCTAGCTCCCTCTAGTGCGGGCTGATCCATCCTTTGCTAAATCCAGGAAGAGTGAGCCAATTGGCATAAATTACTTCAGAAAACTTGGCAAGATACCTGCCCCTTTTAAATTCTAGTCTGAATTGTGCAAAGTATAGAAAGGGGAATGTGACAGTGAACGCGAGGGAATTCTGAGAACTTCCCAATGTGTCAAGGACAAGAGCTACTTCTGTGTGTTCTCTGTGTCCCTTCCCTTCATCCGAGTGTTTCCATCTGTGAGTCAGCAGCTTGAGTTTTGAAAAGTTGCCGCCTCTGAACCTTTGAATCCCGTGTGTGTGTGTGTGTGAGTGTGTGTGCGTGTGCGTGTGCATGCATGCGGCTGGTTCCCCTCCCTGTATTCAAAAACAGCAATGAATATTCCACGCGTTGCAGTGGACACCTATAACTTTAGCATTCAGGAAGCTGAGGCAGGAGGATCACCACAGGTCAAGGCCAGCGTGGGCTCCTTACTGAGTTCAAAACAAGCCTCAATTACAGACCTAGTCTCTAAAATAAAAGAAAAATTATTAAAACAAGGGAAAAAAAGAGCTCTTCTCTCCCAGTGGCCCTGTGCCTCTTCTTGGTTTTTGTAAATGTTAGTGAAGGGTGGGATGGCTGACAGTGGACATTCTGGTATAAAACGCGGTTGAAGTTTAAGAAATTAATTACTATGCCCAAGAATTTCAGAGTCAAGTCTCTCTCATCTAGGTCTCATCCAGAGTCAAGGCTGCCCCTACCTGAAAGTGAGGCCCCGGCAGGACAGGGTTTTATTGATGCTGCACTGCGTCTGTGAAGAAGGAAGATGGGGCTGCTAGCCCAGGAATGCGGGGAAGGCAGCTCCAGAAGCTGGAAAAGACAGGGAAGTGGATTCTTCCCTAGCAACTTACACAGGGCACTGCCTTCCAACTGTGACCTCAGCCCAGTGACACTGATTCAAACTTTGTCCACCAGGACTAGACGAAAATACATGTATGCTGTTGAAAATTGGGTCTGTGGCAACTTGTTACAATGGCAATAGAAAACTCATGCCTCCAGCCACTCAGGAAGGAAACACAAAGCCCTGCTTGGGACTCGAGAGTTGGATCCTGAAAGGCCTTCCAGGAGCAAAGGACAGTGGCCTGGCTTGGGCCAAGGTCAAAAACAAGATCAGCTGCCCAGTGGAAATCCAAAAGGCCAGGGATGCAGAGTGAATCGTCCATCTTTGGCCAACTACTGGGGCTGTATCCAGCAGGTTCCAAGGTCTCAGCCTGGAATCTCTGAGTCAGACAGTGTCCCCATCCCAAGTTAGAAGCCCTGGTAGAACCAAACTGGTCTCTTCCTGGAGTCTGCCCAGGCCTCTGACACCACTCAGTGGACCTGGGTTGCCAGTGTGGAGACTCTCATAGCTTGGAAACCTCACTCCCCACAGCCAGGGTGAAAGCGGCAGGGTGTGTCTGTGGGTTGGGAAGCCGGAGCCCTGCAACTGTACCCACTCTGGGTGCTGCCCTTTCAAGGGGGAAGAGGAGGAAGGGATTACTGAGTGTCGTACACCCGTGGATGGGCAGCTGTGCCACCAGTGTGGGGATGGGGACATTCAGGCCAGAAACAGACCCAGCCATGTAAGTCTTCTCCCAGGCTGCTGGGTTCCCAGCAAAATATTCCCCCACCAGCCCTAGCCCTGCCTCAGCTTCAGAACCCACCCTCAGGTGGTCTGGATGTGGTCATGGTAGGGGCAGCACTCTGAATAGGGTCAGCATGGGCACAGCGCCGTGGTGGGCACCAGGACCCCTGTGCTCTTTGTTGCCATCACCCAGCTGCCACAGGATCCTGGTGAGCTTGGGATGGCTGCCTCTTCCACCTCTGCAAGACCCTCATACTCTCTAGCCTTGTTGGGGCTGCTGATGTGGGACCTACTGTACTTGGCCAAGTGTGGGCATGAGGTGTGGCCCCAAAAGTGTGACTCTTGGAGGGGCCACCACTCTAAGGCTGCTCTGTAGGTGGTTCCAGGGCTGAGAGTGGAGTGTTTGTCAAAAAGGTGTGTGTATGGTGTCCTCAGGCCAGCCAGTGGTAACTATGGTGGCAGGGACCATGGAATCCTCTTTGCCTGTGACTTTTCACTGCACTGTTACATTGGGCTGCTTTCTGGGGACAGTAGACACTCAGTGTGAGCCTATCCTTTGGCCCTCCCCCTCCTCACAGCCCAGACTATAAGAAGCACACTCTTGGAATTCTGGCAACATCTGTTTATTTAGCAGAAAAAGGGCACTCATCGGCGGCGGCGTGGCTTTGGAGGTGATGGCTTGGGATCATTGCACTGTAACAAGGATATTCTAGATTGTTCACGTGCATGGTAGCTTTTGATGCAGTAAGATGGCACCTTGTGCTGAAGTGATAAAAAATGGAGGTGGGGGTGCAAAGTCAGGAGACACATGAGAGAAGACACCCGAATAAAGATGGCTGGACAAGGTGAGGAACAAAAGCAGTCCCAACACTCCTGACTTGCTTTGCCCTGTCCTCCAATCAGCCCCTGCCAAGCCATATTCCCTGCCTATTCAGTCACCGATGCACTCCTATTGTGGGAATCAAAGCAGGCAGGTATGTGTGTGTGTGTGTGTGTGTGAGAGAGAGAGAGAGAGAGACAGAGAGACAGAGAGACAGAGACAGAGAGAGATAGAGAGACAAAGAGAGAGAGAGAGAGGGAGAGAGAGAGAGATCTTAGTGCCAGGATCCCCAAATCCATAAATTGCCACTGGTTGCCTCAGCCTGCTCCAGTTCAAAAGTATCTGAGGGTTCTCTGAATTGAGGGCCTGAGGATGGGAAACCCAAAGGGCTAAACCTCACACTATTCTAGCCCAAAGGCCTCCAGTGTGTTTACCTGGTGACCCTGGTAGTGCCCCTCTCCAGGCCAGGCCCCTTGAAAGAATGGGCTTTTCCCATGTCGGGAATGAGCCTGCTCCAAGGGAAGGGGCAATGGCTCATGATAGACAGATCCAAGATTAAGGAAGAGAAGACTCAGAAGAGCAAGATCCAAAGTATGGGAAGGAGGTGGCGCAGGGAGGTGAGACTGGAAAAGGTTGGACCTGGACCTAAAATCATCATCTGGGCAAGGGTTGGCTAAACTGTCTGGAGGAGCACTTCGGGACTGTGTCCCTGGGGACACGTACACCCCAAAATCTGAGCCACCATCACCCCAGTGACTAGAACAGGAGACTGAGTCTCTCCTCTCCCCTTTCCCTAGACAGATCTCATCTCTCTTACCCTTTCTGCCAGGTGGCCATCAGCCATGGGGGCAGTGATGGTGATGTGGTCATCAGAGAAGCCCAGAGACTTGGAAACTTCAATGTATTGCATTTCCATTTCAGGGCTCAGTTCCATGGTCCTCCCTATGGCCAAGATGGTGATGAGTGAGGAACAGAGAGAACTCTGTAACTTAAACTTTTGAGACACTATCTTGCTATGCAGTTCAGTCTGGCCTTAAATTCACAATCTACATGCCTCAGGCAACCCAGTGCTGTAATGACATGTGGTTCATCACCACCAGCTCACTGCATAAACTCTGTTGAATAAGTGAAGGAGGACTCAGACCCCTTTCCAATGAAGGGTCTGTGGAAAGACCTCCTCCCTGAGGGGTAGAATTGAACAAGAAGAGATTCTTGTGGAATTGGAGACCCCCTACCGCAGGTGTAACCAGGAACCAGGACCCTGAGCAGATGGAGTGATCACCTACCATAGAGAATATTCTCGAAGTACACCCTGTTTTTGAGAATGGATACGCGCAACACAATGGCAGTCTGATTGTAGTCCGTGGCCAGCACTCTCATGGTGTATTTCTCTGATCCTGCAGTGTAGATGCCAAGGAGTCATCCTTTCCTGACCAGTAGGAAGGGACTGACCCCTTCCTCCCCAACCAGTCACCATCAGCTTCTCCCCAGAGGACAGCATCTGTGTGTAGGGGCAGGGAGTCCTCTGCCTTTCTGGAAGGCCTTGGTCCTCAAATTCCCATGCCAAGCCTCCCTCACTCAGGACTCACGTGTGATATTGTCCAGGATGAACTGGCCAGGCTGGTCACTTGGGACCATAGGGTCACTTTTGTGATCACATCCCTGGTCACTGCAAGAGAGAGAGATGGTGGGTGCTGAACATGGAAAGGACAAAGGCTTGGCTCCCCTGGGCTGCAGTTGGACCAGGGCTACAGCAGGATTCCGAAGGCCAAGTCCAGCCCAGCCCATGACAGCCTGTCCCACACCATGGCAAGGACCCCACCTGGCCTACATCCATGTCCCTGGGCCTTCCCCTCTGAGCCTATACCTGGTCTGCTATGAGGCCCTCTCAACCCTCCCTCCAGCACTCACTTTCTCCTCCGATGCCTCCCCAAGGCAGACTGTCCTGCACACAGACCCCAGGCACACTGACCTTATCCCTGGGCTCCCCTTTCCTAACTCTCCTGGAAATTTCCTTTGAGCTTCCAATCAGCTCCATGCCAAGCAGAACCCTGGCCCTTGAGCCAAAACTGACCTCTCACCTGAGTCTATCCTATCTGTGCAACCTAGACTTGGGCACCTAAATGGCTTTTTCTGTGCCCCTTTAAATGTGACTGCAATTCAATGAGTAGCCAGGGCCAGAATTAAGGCAGGCGAATGAGCCCAGTCTCCCCACTCTGAGTCCTCTTCTGCCCGACCTCTGTCATCTCCAGCCTGTGCCTGCCTGTCCTTACCTTGGGGGGTTAGACACCTCCTTTCAGTAGCTGTGCTGAGATTCTGCCCTTTCAGAGCCCCATCTCTGGCTCAGAGTGAGATAGCCTAGATTCTGTCCTGGGAACACTCCCCTCCAAGCTGCTCATTGGCCCCTACTTGGTTATCTAAGCTGATGGTTGCCTGCTTTCCCATTGTCTAAGGTAAGGCTCTCTGAGTCAGAGTCCACCAGCCATGTCTGTGGCCCAGGAAACTCCTTTTATATCCTGGTGATGGTGGTGGTGATAGTGCTACCAGGGACTGAACACATAGAGGTGGGATCAAGCAGCATCCATAGCCTGATTTTTACTACTAATTTTGATACCTCGTCTCCTAATGTTACCAGCCTGGATTTAAACTTGTGATTCTCCCGCCTCAGCTTCAGTCTTCTAGGATTACAGGCAGGGTGGCTCCTTTAAGGTCACTTTACCCTAAGCCCTTGATGGAAGCCCTGGGTGGGTCCCTTGCTGGCTCCAATGTCCCTCTTTCCCCTCTGGGACAATCTGCTCTCTTCTTGTTTTCTCCTGATTCTGTTTGTTCAGCAACTACCCATGAATGTTGATGGAATTGAGGGAGGAAGAGAGGGTAGAAGGAAGAAGCAATAGGAGGAGAGAAATACCCAAAGCGGGAAAGGTAGGAGAGACAGAGGGAGGAAGGGAGGAACACTGATTTCGTGCAGAGCTGTGAGATGAAGGACATTTTCCTTCATTTTGTTAACCCCATGTTTATGACATCAGTCTGCCTCTCAGACCCCCGACATTGGCAACTTTACCTGACCCAGGTGTAGGTGGCATTGTAGCTGCTGTCATCTTTCAGCTCATAGGTGATCATGTACATGGCTGGTTGGCGTAGACATTTGTTCTTAAATGTGTGCTGTGCCAAGCCGATGGCGTACCACCTCCCCTGGAACTGCAAGGGACTGATAACAGGCAGACCCCACGAATAGCCCCAGAGCCACCCCTCCCACTCTGTCCCTGCTGGGACCTCTGAGGAGCCCTTTGTTTGCAGGGTCTGGGAATGGCCTTTCTCGAGAAGCCAGATGGAGCTGGTCCTCCAGGACCATGAGGGACACCAGACAAACAGTTAGGCCTCAGTTGCCGGGGCTGGGGTTGGCACTGAGTAAGTGCTAGTGAGCCTTTCAGAACCTCAATTTCCTTGTCTGTGCAGAGGGACTGCAGATGTCCCGACCTCACATGGACACCCTGAGTCCTCCCACTCAACACTGCCCCTGAGTCCATTTGCCTCTCCCACTCTCTATTGCCACGGCCCCTGTACCCCAGTCCCTCCCTCAGTTGCTCTTCCAGAGCCCTACCTGGTGTTCCTGGAAGTCTGGTTGCAGTGGGAACTTGTCCAGAGGTGGGATTTCAGTCATGCCTGGAATAGAGTCCAGAGCCTGGACACTCAGGTCCCCCAACAGGAGGCCCAACCACAGGAGACCCAGGGCCATGGCTTCAGAGAAGCTGCTGCACTGGCCAAGTATTGGAAGAGAAAGAGAAGCACAAAGAAGCCAACCATGGAAAACTATTTATGGCCTCCAATCTGCCCCTCCTTGGGTGGGGAGATCCATGGTTTGATAAATCCAGGAAAGATGAGTCTTTTGGTAGCCACTCCGGCAGAAACACATGACAAGATATCTTCCACTCCCCTGAGGGTCAGGATTCTGCAATGCAGAGAAAGGGAAAGGGAAATGGGAATGAGCCACATGCCCCGACCTGCACAGTGTGTCAAGTTCAAGAGCTCTCTCTCTGTGCTCACTGATCCTCTTCCCTTCATCTGATTGACACTGGCTGTGAGTCAGAAGCTGGAATTCGGGGAAACTGTCATGTCAGATCCTGTGTCGCACTTTGTCGTTCTGGGTGGTAATATCAACTCACTGTACCCACAAATAGCAAAGAACATGCCAGCCCAGCACTCAGGAGGCTGTGATAGGAGGATCACCAGCATTTCCAGGCCAGTCTGGGTATACAATGAAGTCCAGACAAGCCTAAAGTATAGGGGGAGACCTGTTCCAAGAAACAAAAAGCAAAATACAAAGAAAGATGAAAAAAGAAAAAAATAAAGCAAAGAATATTCACTGCTTCAGGTCCCGTGCCTCGCTTTGGCTCTACATGTAATGTAGATCTTCATATCCTCTCTCTGAAGGAGGCTTATGTCTGTCTCGCTGGCTGTACACTACTGAAGTTGACAGATGTTATGCTGGATTCGTTACTCCTGATACTTGTATCTTTGTGTGATCAACAGCAAAGGACTGACACAAAACACTAGGAGTTATCATTATAAGAAAGAAGTTTTCCATATAGTTAAAGTTGTGAACATGTAAAACATATATAAATGACAAAAACAGAATTTTAAAGCAATGTACATTATAACTTAGGAATGCAGTATTGCATTAGCAAAACTTCATTATAGTAGGAAAATACTCTTTATTTAGGTTTCAAATGGATACTCAAAGATGATTTATGTCAGTTTTCATGATTTCTTTAAAATGTAGAAAGCTAAGAGAGAAAGAAGAATGGAAAGATACACAGGAGAGAGAAAAGAAGGGGCAAGCCCAATCACTGGCTTAGATTGTCTGTCTTCAAGCCAAAAATATAGAGCAAAGGCCAGGTTGTCAAGATAAAAGCCACAGTGTCAAGGCTGTCAAAACCCAGGGAAGTCTGGAAAAGTGTCATAGCCAAGAGGAGCCTAAAGAGACATGGGCACTGCTCTAACTTGGGTGGGATTTGAGTGTCACCCAAAGGTTCATGTGTGGCAATGTAACACCCACTGTGATATATTAAGACCATGGATCTAGGTATGAGTCAGATACCCATGAAGGTGACTACGGAAGCTGAGCCCAGAATGCTGACTATGGGCTGGCAGGATCTGGGCTTTTCCTGGACAGAGACTCGATTCTTTCCTGTGTGGTAGAAGGTGGGGTTCTGGCTACTTGCTCCCAGTGGTCCTCACAGCAACAGAGAGGTGCATAGCTGTCTATGTTTCTGCTGCTCTAATGAAACACCGCAGACTGCATCACTTACAAATGATAGAGATTTATTTCTCACAGATCTGGAAGCTGAGATGTCCACACGTCACTAGCATAGTTGGTGTCTGGCCTGTTCCACACAGCTGGCACTATCTAAAGTGTGCTCACATGGTGGAAGAGATGGCAGGGTGAAAAGGGTTTGTTATGGTTTATATCTAACATGTCCATCAAAGCTCCATGTGCACATAGGTGGGATTTCTGGGGTTAATTGGATCATAGGTGCTTGATGCTTATTGGTGGATTTGTCCACTGATAAACATTCAAACCACAGCAGCAGCCATATCAGATGGAGCATTCTACTCTTCATCTAATCCTAGGGCAAGGGGGCTGTTTCCACTTGCTTAGTCCTTAAAGGACGAACTTGATCTCTCCCCTTGAGCCCACCCCATCCCTGCACCCCGGAGCCAAGCCCCTAACCTGCTTTCTCTGTGACCCTCAATTCTCAAATGCTTCAACTCCAATCCATCCAGTGGACAGAGCCAGACACACAACAAGTGGGTGAGCCTGGGCTTCTCCCCCTGAGTCTTCATCTGTTCCACCTCTGTCGTCTCCCACTGGGACTCCCAGGCCTTACCCTCACTATTCTCCCCACCTCTGCTGCTGCAGCTGCAGCTGCACCCAGATCCTGACCCTTTCAGGACCCCCAAGCCAGGCCCTGCCTTGGCCTGGCAGCACTTAGTCTTGGCTGCCCATCAGCCCCTGTTCAGGTAACCACATTGACTGCTGACTGCTTTGCTCTTTGCTGGTCCTTTGACTCAGACTTCACCAGTGCCTGCTGTGACCTCCATAACTCCTTTTTTTGTTTGTCTGGTTTTTGGGGTTTTTTTCTTTTTTGGTGGTGGTGGTAGTGGTAGAAGTGGTGACTGAAGCCAGAGACATTAATTACACTGAGCTACATCCATAACCTTATTTTTTATTAGGAGACTAGGTCTTACTAATTTGACCAGTCTGGACTCACATTTATGATCCTCCCAGCTCAGCCTCTGGAGTTGAGCCTACTAGGATTACAGGCAGGTTGGTTCTAAGAAGTTCACAGCACTGCAAGCCCAGGAAGCCTTGGGTGGAGTCCCACACTGGGTCCAGTTTCCCTCCTTCCACATTGGGACACCATATGATTTGTCTTGTTTTCACTGCCTGGGTATGTTTTCCCTACAGCCACCCATGAATGTTGTTGGAAGGGAAGGAAGTAGAGGGTGAAGAAGGGAAGGAGGAAAGAAGAGAACAGGAGAAAGGAAGAAGAAAAGCAGGAAATGAGGAAGACTGTTCTCCTACACACATACTGTACCCCTTCCACAGAACTGCAAGGGGCCAATGACAAGCAGAGTCCAGGGATGGCCACAGAGCTTCCCCCTTTGATGGTGTTCCTGCTGGTATTTCCTCCAGTGCTAAGGACAGCAGAGCCAGGCAACGGGCCTGCCTTGAGAAGCTGGCAGGAGCTGGGCCCTTGCAGGACCAGGATGGACCCCAGGCAAGGAGTTAGTCATGATTTGTCAGGAATGGGATGGAACGATAATAGGCAAGTGGCTGGTTGGCCACTGGAGACAAGTTTTCTCTTCTGAAGGCAGAGAGTGACAGTATCTCCTCCTGGCATGAAATGGGCCTGTAATCCCTGAGTCTTGCACCTCCACCAAATACTGCTTCAGGGTCACTTGGCTCTCTTCTCTTCTCTCTCTGTCCCTTCCCTGTGATTATTTTCCAGAGCTCTTACATGGTGACCCTTGAAGTCTGGCTGCAGAAGGACTACACTCAATGTTGGGCTTAGGGTCATGACCAGTGTGGAGGCCTGGCCTTGGCTCTACAGTGCTCGTAGCATGGTGAGTCTGAGACACAACTGACCTAGGGCCATGGCTTTAGGAGAGCTGCTGGGCTGGCAGGTATTGGAGGGGAGGGCCAAGGATTTCAACCCAAAGGAACTACTCATGGGTCACCTGGCTGCTACCTCCCAGAATGGGTTTACTAAATCCTTTGCTAAATCCAGGGAAGGTGTGTCAGTTGTCAGCAACTGCTTCAGAAACTCATGGTAAGATGTCTGAATCCTCTCTTCTGGCCAGGATTGTATGAAGTAGAGAGAAAGGATGGGACAGAGGACAGTAGAGACAGTCCCAGGGCTCCCAATCTGACCTTTCCTTCTGTACCTGTGCCTTTGACTGATCCTGACTGTGCTTCGGCTGCTTGATTTCATGCAGGCCTTAATCTGTGAGCCCAAGGTGGAGGTCTCCGTGGCAATGTCAAGTCCCTGTAGCCTCAACGAGCAAAACATGTGTCAGACATTGTGGCCCATGCTTGTAGTCCCAGTACTCATGAGGCTGAGGAGGGAGGATCATCACAATTTCTAGCCCAGCCTGGTCTGCACCAGGCTAAGTTCAGTACCAGGCTGAAGTGCAGAGTTGGACCCTGTCTCAAGAAACCAAAAAAAAACAAAAACAAAAAACAAAAACAGGACAGGGGTGGTGCAAGCAGCGAGGGGTCAGCTCTTACAGGGTCTGTGCCTCATTTTGCTTCCTGTAAATTTCAGGGTTAGTTTTGCAGCTGACAGTGGCCATTGCCTCCTGAGCCCAGATTCTAAGTCTCATAGGAGCCTCTGGGCAAATCCTGGAACAAGGTGGGTTGCCTTGAACCCGTCTCCTCCCATTTGCAGGACTAGAAAGAACAGCATGGAGCCCTGAGTGACTTGACTACTCCTGTGAGACTGGTAGACAGAGAACTTGAGCCAGGTCCATGGGGCAGACAGGGCCACGTTACAGAGCAGAGTCCTAAGGCTGCAGTAGCAGCTCACAATAGAGCCCTGGCCATGGGACAATATAAGACAGACACTCGCTCAGGGCAGACACTGGTTTTAAACAGCAGTTGCTTTGGCCTAATTTAGCCTTGTCCTTAAGAGATCATTCAGACCAAACCTCTAACTCTGGCTACATCCTCGGGCCATGGACCTCAGTGCACTGAGAAGTGTTTCTGACTGGGCCTGACTGCCTAGGCGGGGAAGGGACACATGCGTCGAGGGGAGTCCGCCTCTGGAGCCCACCTCTCTCTCCTCTGCATCCCTCCCGCTGAGCTGTGCCTCAAGGAGAACGCCTAGGGAAAGATGGGGGGAACGGGGAATTTGGGGCTGGGTAGCACCCTCTCCTCAGGTGGTGGCATCTTTGGGAGCTGTGAGACAGCCAGCGCAGGGCCGGGCAGTGGGGTCCTCCCTCCCCACCCCCACTCCCCACCCCGCCCTCCCCCACCTCGTGGCAGCCCCCTCCCTCCGGATCTTCCTCCCCTCAGCCTCCCCTTTCCCCTCCCTCTTCTCCCTCCGGATCTTCCCGCAGGCAGGCGTAGGGACAGCCCAGGCGTCCTCCCGCCTGCAGCGCACCCTTGCTACTCCGGGGCTCAGGACCCCAGCCTTTCCCCGAAACACATCTCACAATTTCAAACCTGGAGAC